CAGAGGAGAATGGTAGAAACAAAGTTAGTTTATAACTGGGTAACAGCTAGACATACAAAGCAAGCTGGGCAGGGCAGTCTTACCTTGCTGGAATCTCACCTTCTTGGTGAATCTTTTTCTCTCTGCATCCCCTTTTATTTGATTGCTTGTTTACTTTTGCATTTTTGCTTATTTATTGTGGTGGTGTGTGCATGAGTGCACTGGTGCAAGTCACAGGACAACTTGTGGGAGTTGGATCTCTCCTTCTACCATATGAGTTTTGGGGAATGAGCTCAGATCCCCAGGCTTGGCAGCAGGTACCACTGAGCAATCCCACTGGCCTTCCCTGTCCGGTCTTTTTTGGCTACACTTATTCCTCAGACTTTCTTCCCTGTTTTATTTTTCTCTCTAAGACCTACCCTGTTCTGTGGACAACTCTTATCCCGTTTTTATCTTCCTGCTTCCACCTGAGAAGGTGAGACATTCCTGCTATGATGGCAAGGATTTCTGTCTGTATTGTTCATTGCTGACCTCTGACCTTAGAACTGTAACCTGACACATAGTAGGGCTCTGTCAATATAGGCGCCTCCTGACACATCAAAGGACAGCTGCCAGGGCTCACTAAACACACCTTTATCAGGAGCCAAAGCCACCTTTTCCTTTGAAGTTGGCTTACCGATCAGTTTTTCTCTCCCTTCGTGCTAGGATGACGTTCTGCCATTAAGAGGCAGTTTGTGGGCTCTTTGCTTGAAACAGATCCTGGCATATGACACATATTCACTGCGTTCTAGGTCAATGAATCATCTCCCTCCTCATCGCTCTTCACTGGTGTGTGTACCAGATGCCTTTTCCTGCCTTCCCTCCACAAATCCTCACAATGACTCTGGGAGACAGGTACTGCTATCATTCTCATTTTAAAGAAGAGAGAACACACAGAGAAAGACCCACTGTGGGTGGGGCTGGTAATGAATCCCAGGCCTCTTGATCTGAGCTTTGCTTTTCCTCCTCAGTGAGACTGAAGGTTCCTTGCACTCTACTGCTGACCTACACGCCCATCCGAGAGCTTTACCTTTAACCCCCTTTCTATCTGCATGACCCTTCCCTCCATAGATAGGGCAGTCACCATGCTTCAGTGCCACTGAAGTGAAGTCCTCTGACACCTGTAAGCTGTTCTCTTCACCGCAGCTGGACTGAAGTTTTCAGATATAACATTTGATCCTCATACTGTTACAAATCTCTCTAACGGCTTTTCTACTGAAGTTAACCAGTACTTAGAAGAACAATGGGGGGGAGATGGTTCAGTCAGTAAAGTATTGGACTGGAGGATCCTGAGGCTGCCTGATCAGCCAGGCTAGCTAAGTTAGTGAATGCCAGGCTCACTGACAGACCCCCATCTCTAATGATGATGATGATGAAGTGGAGGTGGAGGAAGAACATTGCTTTCTGGCTTCCACACGGGCACACAGACACCTGCATACTTTTAGAAAATGCTGACAATGCCATCTTCATAGTGACACTGTCTGGTATTTTAGACCTGACTGACAGTCAGAAATGTCTACCTCAGTTGATCAGAACCCAGAGGACAGTTGTGTCCCAACAGATGTTCCTGGCCCTGCCCCAATCCCATCATTTGGTACTCTTCAGGGACGGGGTCAGAGAATGTTCATTTTTAAGTCCACAAGCACCACTGATAAGACACCAATTTAACGCTTTCATCTCTAGGACACTTGGCAAACGTCTACAGGTCAGGCGTACTCTTTAAACCATCAACATCAAGACTAAGACTTTACTGGCTCTGTTTAACCACCATGTTTCACAAATTAAACAGCCCTAACTCATGTCACAGGTCTCAAAGGGCTTGAAGCCTGGATAACTCACGCCACACCACATGAAGTGTGTGGTCAACAGTTTTACCTTGAAACATACTCATTACACCATTATTCCATTTCTGAAAAACAAAACAACAAGCAAAAAAAAAAAAAAAAACCCGATCCTGCCACAGCTATGCAATAATTTGAGAGAGGAAAAGAAAAAATCAACAAATAGAAGACAGACACACACACAGCCCATGCCTTGCCCTAACACATCTGTGAGCTCTGAGCTTTCTATTCATTTAAAAAGATTGTATTGTAAAAGATCTGTTATCAAGTCAGAGATAAGCTTTCTCAGAGGACGTCCAGTGACTCTCCAGCGAGCATCCCAATTCCCTCATCTCTCTCCCAGAGTTCAGAACTGTCTTTGGACTTAGGATGCCATCTGACCCAGCATTAGCTCCTATCTTCTACCTACAATTACAGGAAGAGACAAATATTTTACTTCAGAGTTAGTCATCTCTGAAGCCAGCTACTCCAACTGGGAGGGTCCTGTGGCACAGAGAAACAACAGCATGAAGCTGGAGTATTAAACCTTTATCCTTAAGATAGATAAGATGCACAGAAGATATATATCACGAATATGATTTTATATAAAGATTATGAGTTCCACATATATATATATATATATTTGCAAATATATATATATTTAAGACTACAACTAATTTTTATAACATATAAATAGCCCAGAAAAATATTTTCTTTAAAAAACATATAGAAAAACAAGCAAAAAAAAATTCATGATAACAAAGGTCAAATGGTTTTAAAAATTACTTCAAAAAATGCAATTTAATATAGTACTAAGGCAAGTAAGGAATCTGAGTCATGCCATGAGGTTTAATACTTTGAGTTTTTTTTTAATTTTTGCAACTTCAGAAATGTATTTAAAAGTACTGATATTTAGCTGAGATTGCTTCCAAGGGCTTCTCTATGGGGGAAAATAAATATTCTATCTACACAATATGATACAGAAGACACTAATGTTTTAGAAGTAACAACTATATATTGCAATATTCAGAAGAGCTCTCAGGAGAAAATAAAATATTAGTAGTGAGAAACCACTAGAGAAGTAAGGTTTTTCAAGACCTTTTGAGGGCATAGAAATTATTTTTCACTCTCCGTATAGCACAAGAAGGCTCCTCACATAAACCACCACCCATGGGGGCTTCCTAAGCTAAGCAATAACGGGCTTCTCATTACGTGAGAGGGACAAAATAGCGACTACCCAGATGTACTACAACCACTGAAAGGGAAAGGAAGTGGACAGTTGACGCTAATTTGGCACACAGCCTCACTAAAGCTAAGCACATACAGAAACAGCGTATGGAAGATTCCTAATTTTTCCCTGCATTGCTCTAGGCTGTCACGACACCCTATCCCAGAGCAAAAGACACACTGCAGACCTCAGCCACCACTGTGCCAGGCTCTCAACCATGTTAACACAATCTGCCAAAACACAGGACAAAGGTAACAGGATAAAGAGGAACTTTAAAGGTCCCCCTTGGTCAGACAAGAATAATTCCCGAGGCGGTAAGGTACCTTCCACTCAGATGTCAAAAATGCACAAAGAAAATGGGTATCAATGGTAAGACAAAAACTTTTTTTTTCAATGAATGTTTATTTGACAAAGTGCCTTTTTTTTTTTTTTTCATTCCTCTCTGGTTCTGATCTTCGGAAAAACCACACCAGTATCAAATGCCACTTAGTTCTTATTCAAACAGGAGACAGCAGACACAGCGGCTGCAGGGTGACTTGGCTGACCTGGGCCTTCAGTAAAAACAACCCACTATAAATCACCAGATGTAAGCAATTGGAGAGTGATCACTTTAATTAATTGACCAGTTCTCCTGAAATTTACTATATAACTTCAACCCTTCTAACACCTTTACTAGAATAAAAAGGAACAATGGTGTTTTTTTTTTTAATCAAGCTATTTAGAGAACATGTTTTAACTTTAGAGGCAAGTAAAATTTTAATTACTCAAGGTCAAGATGGGAAAATGCTTAATTTTAGAAATTAAACATGGAACATACAAAATGCTACTTTTTAAATGCTGCAAAGATAAAAACTGATCTCAATACATGAAAATAAACAATCTATATGTGCTGAGAGTGAAGAAAATGTGACACAATTTTTAATGGCACCTGAAAACTTCGCAAAGTCTTGACTTCACTTATTGTTGACATTTTCAGTTGGGGTTTCTAACCCTGGCTCCCACACCTGGAGCCATACTTAAAAGATGATGTGAGATGACACATCCATTAAGAGTAGATTCTGCTCTTGGGAAAACCCAAGTTCAATTCCCAGCTTCCACATCCAACAGCTGATAACCGACCCAGGAGATCCAGCGCCCTCTTTTGGACACCACGGGTACCTGCACTCACATGTACACAAATCCACGTACACACATAACTTATAAAGAAGATACCTCAACGGCATAGTACCAACTCCCATTATCCTTACACAGGAAGTCTGAGCATTATCTACAAACATCACGTAATGCAGCATCCATTGTTGCCATGATAACAGCGACAACCACTGAGCAATGCCAGAATTTAAACGTGAATCTACAGACCATAACCAAAGCTCAAAGTAGCTTCTTTTGAATCCTGGAAGTCAGGTTAGCAAAGACAGCAGAGTGTAAAGATGCCTGAGGGGGGTAGTAGCTTAATGGGTTGCCTAGCAACCAAGAAGCTCTGGGTTCCACCAAAGTAAATAAACAAGCAAATAAGTAAACACTTGAGATTTATAAGTGGAAACAAGTTAATCTAAAGAGGCTTTCTTTATTATGCCCTGGAAAGCATATACAAAGTCAGCTTATAAGAGGTACACGCTAGTCCAGATAAAGCAGTGGTTCTCAACCTTCCTAATGCTGACAACTTTAATATCCTTTAATGTGGTGACCCCCCCACCACAAAATTATTTCATTGCTAATTCTTAACTGTAATTTTGCTATTGTTATGAATTATAATGTAAACATCTGATAGGTAGGATGTCTGATATGCAACACTCAAAGGGTTGCAACCCACTGGTCGAGAACCACTGATACTGATAGTACCTGTTACTTACTGTGACCCACAGATTGAGAACAGCTGACACAGGTAATACCTGCTGCCCCTACAAACATACATGGTGCTGACATTCACTTACAAGGAGAGCTGCCTAATATTTGCTGAGACTGGTCCCAGGTCTGGAATGGCCTCCAACTCATTGTTATTCAGCTTCCTAAGAATGCCAAAAGAGCAGAAAAAAATAATTAGGCCATCTCAAATCCAAAGAAGTGAAACACTGTACACTACTTAAAGGCATCCCCCTAGTTAAAAGTTCGAAGAAACCTTATAATCCCAAGGTTCATCCCATGAAATGGTCCAAGAGGAAAACATTTCATTCAACCCTCAGATAGGAAGTAACGGGCACTCACACTTCTCGGAGGCTTTGGAGGTGGCTCAGGGAACTTGTCTGGATAGACGATAATCTGTTGTGACTCAGGTCCCTGTAAGAAAACAAAAGTAATATTACAAGTGGTTTCTTAAAAGTTACTAATATCACTTAATGACCTACTAGGCAGAGCAGGGTTTTGGATTCTCTCTCTCTCTTAACACCAGTGACAAGAAGAGAAATAATCAGATCGCTCTGTCTACAGATTAACTGGCAACCCAGTGACAAATTCCAAATGACAAACTCTGAGGACAAATTTAGTTTAAGAGGCTGGCAGATCCAAATATTTGAAGCCCACAAGCATTTTAAGAGCTGTTTTTTTGGCACATGGTGAACAGACCTTTTATGAACTATAGTTGGCTTCACTCTCTCATCTATCTCCCCACCCCAACTTGATACAATGACATCATAGACTATGAGAAGTGGCTAATTAGGCAGGTTACTGAAACAAGGACTCCGAAGAAACATTTTTATTATCACAAAATTAAGTGCCAATGTCCTTATTACAGCCAACTAGAACAGAGGTTGACCTCCGTGGGTAGTTCTTAGTTTCTCTGCATTAAGGGACCAAATTACTAGTATAGGGTATGCTCCTGTATCTGCAAGTACACATACTTCTGAATGTACATGCTCAAAAGGATATGCCACAGCCTGAATCCTGTTCTTTAAGAACTCCTTGAATTTCAACACCCAATAATGTAACACAGTCTAAATAAACCACACCAACCATTTAATACTGCAGGGCAAGCGGCACAAGCATTTTGGTCACCAAGAGAAAGGTGCTTCTTAGTAACCCAAAGGCTAAATCAAACTTAGTAACAATTCCTACCCGCAAGTAACAAACTCCTAGCCACTCAGTGCTCTGGGTTAGAAAGTCCACCATCAAGATTTGAAAAAAGGAACAAACCCCAACAAATGTTTCAGCATCCCATTTACATGCCTCCAAAGTAGCATAATGAAGACTAAATGGGTTAGACGACCACTGGAAGCAAGGTTCAAGCACAATGTGGTTGAATGCACGTTCCTTTCTGGAAGAGGCCAGCTGATCCTAAGTTAATTCCTCAGTGTTTAAAATGAAGACTTTTAAATAACAGAAGTTTTGGATGACTAAAATTAGCTGCTGACAAGCATGAACCACGCTACCTACATCAGAATGTCCTCCCATGAACAACAGAAAAACAGAAATCACACACCCAGACAAACAAGGGTTGTTGCTTGCTTAGTTGACAATTAGAATTTAAAGATCCTGTCATTTTCTACCCTGTTTGTTTTGAGAGTAGGCCCCAATTTCTGTGTTTCACCTTAAGACAAAATAAAAAGGAACTCGCAAAGATTTTATTCAAACTCTGTTTGCCTAGAGACCCACCAGACAGTAACAGACATGAGTAGATTTGTTCTGGTGGAGTTATAACATGAAGGGGGGGGGGAGGAATCTGGCTCCGTTTTAAACTATAAAAATCCTGCAATTACAACCGCTGCTGTGCATACTCACCACGCTGGCTGGAGCCAGACACTTTCCCCTCACAGTCCAGCCCAAGTCCATCTGGAGTTCATCAAGGAAGCCGTGAGCCCAACAGCTCACGTTTGCAGTCAAACAAAACCTGAGTGCCTTTAGCACCCCAGACAGTCCCAGATTGCCCACATGGTTTAAAACACAGCCAAGGAAAGAGTCCTCCACCTGGGACTTTAGCTTCACTCCACAGACAGTCATTTGGACCTACTTAACTCAAGAATGCTGAGGTTGCCCCCACCCTGCCATTGTTTCCTGTGTTTGGAAGCATGGGGAGGGGGCAATCTGGTATTTGCATTTCATACAGTTGATTTTCTTTTAAATTAAAAGGAAAGAAAAGCTCACTGCAAGGGTTATTTCACAGAGAATCCTGGGAGAAATGAGATTTGAGTGTTCAAAGTTTTCTACAGGTAATGGGATGGGATTCCCTTCCCCACAAACCCCAACAAAAGATCTTTAAACTGGGAAGCAGCCCAGTGCACATTCTGGGTACACTGGTTTCATGTCTTCCAGCAGGAGCTGGTGGCCATACATATTTCAGTTGTTGCAAATGCTTCCAGCCTAAGCTCTGTATACTATTAAAACCACATTATATGCGGGAGAAGAAAAGAAGAGAAAAATTCTTAAGTGACTTTTACTGCTAAATACTTACAGCCATGGAACTTTTAATTTACTTAAATTTAGATTTTAAAGTAATATACATTTCAGAAGTAATTACTTTCTTTTTAGGGGATGCCACATTTTCCTACATCTTCCCTACATTATTTTTATGGACAGAGCACCGAGAGACTCAGAACATAAAATGCTAGTGTTTCCTTGACAGAAATCCAGGACAGAAACCATTCATGGGAGGACAGATTCATTGTTAGGTGAAATTACAAGAAAGTACAGCTTCCACCGGAAACTTTTTTTTTTTTTGCAAGATTTGTTGTGATGAGGCCAATATATGGGTGGGTTAACTATATACCCAGAAAGCCAGTGGGCAAAGGCTTGGAAAAAAAATCAAACCTCCTGTTTATGGTAGAGTGGCTCTTTGTTTTATCAAGTGAATGAACATATGTGAAAATTATTAATATTACAACATTTGGTTCTAGCTATAGTTTTCTTTTTAGAAATCTGTCTTCCAACTCAAATTTGAAAATGCAAAGACAGCGGAGCTGGAGTTTCTGAACCCCACAGGGGCCTTGCCAAGCTGCTAACTCAGCAGAAATATGGAAAGCCAAAAAACAAAAAGGCAGGCTGTAGCTGTTTTAAAACACGGATCCAAAGCGACTCATAAATCAGGCTGCTATGCTCGAGTTCTGGTCTGGAAAATATAGAAGAACAGCTGTGGAAACCATAAGCACTATGACTCCCTCCCCAGCCCCAGTCGAAGTCAGTTCCAGAGGATTCATAACAGGCCAACACCAAAGAAGTCACACCAGCACAAACTACCTTTCGGACTTTCACCTCAGCACTGTTAAGAGCTCAAACATTTCCACGTGATAAGATACATCATCTGAAATTCCAGTTAGAATCTAATAACACTCCAGGTTCCAGCTGGCAATCAAACAATTTCCCTCCTCTGGCTAAATAACGTATTTTAACAAGCCTTCCTCTTTGGGTTCGGAGCTCTGAAAGCACAAAGATTTTTCGAGTGAGACTCCAAGCAGTTACTTTTTTAATAGCCACTTTCATTAAAGAACCGCAGATTTGTTCTAAAAGCAGAAGCGAGTACAGTGTTATTATTGTTTAGCTCCAACTATTCAAGTTTCCACACAAGGTGCTTCTATGGCAATAAATGACAACTGGATAAAGTGGGGAAACACACACACACACACACACACACACACACACACACACGCAGCATAGACGTTCATAACTTGCAAATTCAACAAAGGAAACAAAGGGCACACAGCATACTTCCCTGAATGTCTCATAAACTATTCCAAAGACAAAACTTTTGCTCTTTTAATTACACAAGGAAAGGAGAGCTGTGCTGAACAAGGCACATTTTGTACTCACTCCCAGGTCTTGGAAGCCATCTACTTAAAAGCTTTTGTAATTATGTAAGATTTAACTAGCAGCAACTTACACCTCTTATTGCAATACACCAAATAACAGGGGGAGGAACTCAATTGCATGTTGCTTTTTGGTCTTTGAGGTGAAGAACAGACCTCTAGGGCTCTGAGCACAAACAAAAGAAACACTGACAATAAAGAACTTAAGACCACATGGTTTGGTGACACCTACAAAGATGGTCAGAAGTCACACAAGTACAAGAATGGGAAGGCTATCCCATGAGGGATCACAGCAGGGCCCCTGACAACAAACTAAGTGCTTATTTATACAAGTGGAATGTATTTTCACATACATTTAAGGAATGTGGACTTGTATTGAGACAATTTACTACTGGCGGAAATGTAATTAAAGACTGTGCTAACCAAATAAACTGTAATTTGTTTTTAGTGTGCCACCAAATTATCTGCAAAACAAAATCCTAATTAGGTCAGCTCTCTTTAAGAATGTTTGAATAGGTATTGAATCCCCCTTTTCGATTCAACTCAACTTCCAATCCAGGCCCACAAGGCTTTCTGAAATGCATTTAACTTACAAAACACAATGCTGTGTACTGACAGCCTTCAGTGGGCCACCTGTTACTGAGAAACTACTGGATAAAGTTAGACTTGGTAAAAATTTCTAAAGGTACTCCAGGGAAGCCCCGTTTAGTTTTCTCTCTCATCCCTCTATTATCCATAGGTGTTTGCCTCCAGGCATTTACATGTTGAATTCCATATGTTGTCAATGGAGCCATTCTGCTTCCATGAACGCTGCAGCGCGACCCCCACTCCCCACCCCCCAAGAGGCAATTGAATGGAATTAGCCACAACTAATTGAAAGTCTTCCTGCTTTAGGCTCAAGCCTTTATCTCCCCTTTCACGAGTAATAAAAGTTGCTACATCAGACATTCCATAATCAGCCATTAAATATCAATCCAATTCTCGTTAATTCTATTTCCTTATTAAACTGCTTTTTAAAACAGGCGTTTTGTTTGATGGTCAACAGTTTATAATGGATGGAAGACTTTAGGTTGGCCCACTGGTTCAAAAACACGATTTCTTAAGCCGCCTGAAAAGTTTCTGCCACTATTGTCAAGACCTACTAAGACTGTTTAAGAGCTGAGACTTTTCCCTAGGCCTAAATTTAAGAAAGTGCAATTAGATTTTTTTCTTAAGCAGGTCAACTATTTTTTAAATACAGCTTTTATTTTATTTTATTTTGCTTATAGCTTAAACACCTCCAATTTTAAGAAAATCAGGGTTTGGAAGAGAATAGATAGAGTTGACATTTTTTAAGAACGCGCATTTCCAAGTAAATTATATTTTCTTCCACAGAGTTGGCCGTGACTTCAGGCCTTTTAGACCTCTCGGCTTAAAATTCTCCAAACATCACTAGGCGCTGGCCCTCAAACCAACCCTCCGAGAGCCGCTGCAGAAGAAGGTGTTGGTTCTGAAAGTCTACTTCCTCCCTTTGCTTATCCACAGATCAGACTTCGCACCCAACTTCTCACAGGAACCAAGATGCATTACAAAGTGGCCCGGGAAGGGGGCTGATGGTCTGCTAATGTGAAATTACTCACAAGCGGGAGAAGAAAAAAAAAAATCTGGGTACCAGAGAGGTTGAGGAGGGGGTTCTACGGGAAAGTCTCACATGCAGTGACTAGCGACAGGCAGGGACTCTAAACCACTGAGAAGCAAAGGGTGGGCCAGTTTCCCCACATAATAAACTCAGAAGAAAACATGCAAACTTCGGGGGTCTTGCAGACTGGCTCCTGCGGTCGCGGGAGTCCGGTCCCCCAAGCCAAGCGCCCACCTGCGAGGACGCAGTAGACTGCGTTCCCCACGGGGCTCTACTCGCGGCCTGGGCGCACGCAGTGCACACTGCGCCCTGAGCCCAGGCCTCAGCGGACTCCGCTCGTCCTCTCCTCCACCCTACGGGAACGATCTGATACTCACA